TGATGCAGCAGTTTAAAGCAGCAGCAGTGTGTGTGTGTGTGTGTGAGCAGAAGTGAGAAATTGCGAGAGGGGGAGATGGGCTTTGGATCCACTGAGGCTGTGTGAATATGGTCCAGAGAGGCTAAGCAACAAACACACCCAGAGTCTAAATGGATTTTTTTTAAAAAAAGAAAAGAGAAAAACCTCAGAGTATTTACATCACAGAGGAGAAGTGTTTGTCATTGATTCCTGCTCTGCGTTTGTCTCTTTCATTTCTCATTCTCTCACTCTAACATCTCCCCGTTCATGCATCCCAACAGAATGCAGCTGGTTTTGTCAACGATGATAAATTGTCTCAACTCATTATCAGACAGAGATGCCATGTCGTACAAACACCACCGGGGGTGTTCCTGTGCATTATATACCGAGCAGTGAAGAAGTGATGCAGCAGACCACAGGTGGAAAGGAGTGTTGAAAAGTCTAATGAGCAGAAGATAATGATGCAAATTATGCAGAGGCAGCAGTGAGCTATGACAGTCTGCTTTCTGTGTCATTTCGAAAACATCCAGCGGTCAGTCGATGCTATACTTAATAGGAGCCCAGGACAGACGGCCTAATCGTGAAATCAATAGTCTGTCTGTGTGTGACTGAGGACAACAGCCTCTACTGCTCTTATCAGGTTGTCATTGCGGACGAGCGCTGTGTCGAAATGCCTCAGGTTTACAGTCACGGACAGTTGTTACAGTACATGAAGGGAACAGAGACTCTCAGTTATCTTTCACACGGTTTGCAAACAGTCCACACATGTACAAAGAGAACTGTTCATCTGTCGCTTACATCTCTTGACAATATATATGGAACACAAAGGGATGGATGGAGCCTGGTTGTCTGCTCGGACATGAGATGCATTTGTTAGCGTATTTGGCTAACTAGCTCAGTAGTAACCTCGCATTCCTGCCATACCACATTATTTTGAGGGATTAAAGGTTATGTAACAACAAAAAAAGGCAGTTCCCTACTTGAGCATCCACTGCGATAGGCTACACTCCAGCAACTCTGAACATTACGCTTGCCAAACACAATAGTCCTCATCTTAAAAACCATTCCTTTTGTAGGCTAATGAAACATAAGCCCTGTTTCAACCAAATACTTTCGGTATGGCACCTTTGGAACCAAAAGTAACCCTTCAGACATGGTACCTAGACCCTAATGTTTCCACTGCAAACAGGACTCTTAAATGTGGGCGGGGTTGTTGTCACTCACTGCTCCGTCCAGCACTCACTGTATTTCCTCCTTTATCAGTCTGCACCTCGTTTATCGTCCACAGAACGAGGCTGCACGCCGGCATTTAGTCCTTCTCAGGCAAGCTCAGGGGTTTAGTGTTGATGTAGCCCACAGGAACGACACTCTGCGACACTTTTTTTTTTTCTGAGTGAGGATTAGAATATATGCAGTTCACATAATCCGGTTGAAAGATCCACTCATTACTAAAACTCTATGTCATTTACGAGAGACGATAAAAACTAATGGAATGGTTGAAATTTAAGGTGTGCTGATGGATTCACATCGTCACCTCATGCATCCAATAACATAACAAGTTAACATTCCACCTTAAAAGTCGCCAGCAGTCGGCCCAGTGAATAAAGTTATTTTTTCTCAGACTCCAGCTGCTGAGAGACAGCAAAACATCTTCTCATTTTATAGTAACAGTTTACTAATAAAACTCTCCACAGTGGTTACATGAGCCTCAAAACCAACCACAACTCAGCCCTGAGCAGAGTGACCGTCCTCTACTGACCAATCAACAGACTGCAGTGTTCACAGCTCCACCTTTTAGTACCAGATCTGTGTGCTAGGTACCCCAACAGAGGGGGGACCAAACATGGGGACGGTACGGAACAGTTCTATTGGTACCATCCGCAACTTTTCACAGTGCAAACGGGAAAAAAGCGAACTGAACTGTGTGGAAATGGGGCTTAAGGTAACGATAGCACACTGATTCTTATTTTCAGGTGATTGTACACTAATGATAACATTCTCATCATATAATTATATCACATTCCTGCCGATATATCCCCCAAAATCTTACACACTGGACCTTTACGACACTTTAACATGGCTTTTGATTTTAAAACCAGTCTGCAGGAAACTTTAGCATCGTAATTAGCTAGCTAGCTAGAGCTGGTAAAATCTTCTAGCCACAGTCGTCAAATCAGCTGCAAAATTCAGTGTCAAGAACTTAAAGTCTGACAGGCAGAGCAATAGTTACTTAAGGGGCTTAGTAAACAGTCAGCTGCTACTCTTGTTGTTAATATTAAAAACTTGTTCGTTTATACGCCTCGTAGATTCTTGTTATTAACTTTGAGGAGGTCTAATTAGCTCTTTTTTGTTGCTCTATTATGTCTCATTTCTTATTTGGATATTAGGTCTGACTTCTTTAATCCCCTTTCAGTTCTTTTCTTCTCACCTTGACAGTTTTTATTTGTTATAATGTTTGGTTTTTTGGGGTGAAAAGAAATGAAAAGAAAATTATATCACTGTGTATGAACACTGCTGCTGCTACCACCTGCTGCTGCTTTTGAGACACAAGGCAAAGACAATTTCCTCTGACTTTGTCTGTATCACTCCTGTCACACTGATTCAACCAGTCACACACTTCCTCACAACCAACGTGTTGTCACAACATATACAACTAATTTAAACAAGCTGTGCTCTCGCTGCCACTGTTCAGACAGAGTGAAATCAAACAGTCACAGATACAAGCACACCGAGACGTCGAGACGCGCTCACCTCATCCCACCCTTATCTCATCTCTGCTGAGCTCAGAAGACAGAGAGTGAGGGGAATGACTCGGTCACAATTAGGATATGTGGCTGTGCCGCCTCTGAAGATATTCAGTGGTTTGCGCGCTGCTCTCCCCTCAGGCGTGGTGCTCACTGCTGAGCCAAGACACAGCTGGCGGCAACCTCTGTTAAATCACTCATCTTCACAATTAAGACTCGCAATAATAAGGGTTCATCTCTGTCTATCTGCTTGCCCTCAGGGCTTCTGCGAGAAAGACCAATGAGGAGAGGCGACAGGGGGTGAGGCAGGGAGATGAAAAGAGGGAGTTAAAGGCGAAGAACGAGACAAACACTTCAGAGAGTGAGGGTCAAAGTGTTTGAAATATGAAGAGAAAAAAAAAGTGTGCGTTTTCCCGTGAATTCAATAGTTAAAAATGTTGAGTTTGAGAGCGTCAGAGGGAAGTTGTGAAAACTTTGGCACCTTCGCAAGAAAGTGAGACTGAGCAATAATGTATCCAGAGGACGGGCCGAAAGCAAGCTGTCTCCTTACAAGGATGACACAAACACACACACACACACACACACACACACAGCCCAGGGGTCTATTATATTTTGGGCTGCTTGGTAAAAGTTTGATGAAAAACCAGAGCATTATCAGTGGACATCAATTCAAACCAGGGATGTCAGTTTTGGTTAAATCTGCTTTCGACGGCCTGACACCCTTTAACCGCTACTAACCTTTTATATTTTACGAAAAAATGCAAAATGTGAAATAATAGAGGTGAAACTCTGTGTTCAGGGGAGTGTAACGCCTCATGCAGTTGTCCAATAGGGCAAGTGAGAAATAAATGTGATGTCTAATGTAAGGTCATCTGAAATTAAACTGTGTAATGGATCTCTGAAATGGAGCTTCTCCAGCTGAGCTGCTTGTGTGCGTCGGTCTCACCACCAAGCATTAAACAGAACTGAATGAAAAACTCTGAAATACTGGATACTATAGAGGTTAACTCTTAGGTTACTGATGTCGTACAAGACTTAAGTGGGATTTATACTTCTGCGTGGGCTCCTCCGTCGACGCCATAGCCTATACTACACCTCCACAGAAATGTAAGTACACCTCACAGTGACACAGACCTCCTGTTTATTTTTGTAAGCTAAAAAATATGAAACAAAGCTTTTATTTACTTTATCACTGATGAGAAGCAATAAACAGTGAAGACAATAAAGCCTCCACAAAATAGCATGTTAAGTCTTGTACATGGTTTATCCTTACTTCATATAAGTAGAGGAAATCCCTAGGCTAATTTATACAATGTAAAATGCCATTGGCTTGTGCTAATAACGTTAGCATGTTATATTTGTTTGGAAACGTCTTTAGTATAAGACAGTTGTTTTGTCAGTGAACCTTGTGAGTTGTAATGGAGCTGAATTTTGTAACGTTACCTCTGTTAAATATTGCTGTTGTCCCTGGCTTCATATGAGTAGAGGAAAAGTCCGCTAGCCACTAGGCTAATTTATACAATATAAAATGCCATAGGCTTGTGCTAAAAACATTAGCATGTTGTATTTGTGGGGAAAATGTGTCCAGATAAAGACAAGTGTTTGTCTGTGAATGCTGCGAGTTATAGTGAAGCTGATTTGTGTACTTGTGTTTGAAATTGTCTCTATTAAGCCATGTTTAATGTGTGTTTAATGTGTGTTTTGAATCAACTAAACTTTACAGCACTTCACAGAAACCCAGCCGCCAACTAGTGTTTAGGAGGTGTAACTGCAGAGTGACACAGACACACCACCATACAAGTATAAATGCTGATGCACAGGTATAATTCTGCCTTTAATGTTACATTAAATATCTCTGGAATTACTTTCTCACTTGTATCTTATGGGTGTGATAGTGAAGATGGAGCTGATGGAGGATCCAGGGCAAACAGGACCAGCAGCTTCTCTCTAAGCTCAGTGATGCTTTTTTCATACCATTCAGAGGCTGTGTTCCTAAGTATTTTTCTGAGGCTGTGTTTCCTTAATGACTTCTCTTAATGACTGCCTGTCTGTGGCTATCAGGAGAGTAATGTTAACGGGCAAGTGGCTGAGATGGGCCCGACTGTGGTAATCCCCTCCCACAAGTTGGATGATGGTGCTGGTGTGTGACACAGTGGGTTTCTCTCGAGCTGTTCGCTGCGGTTTACCTTTGATATTTAATTCAAACTGACAAAGAAAATAAGTTTAATATAGATCTATGGTGTTTTTGTGATAGGCCTAAAAATCTCCGCAGAGGTGAGGAAAAGGGGATAAGGAAACACAGAACAGGGGATTAAACATCAGATTACTTTTTTAAACCTCAACACAAACTGAAGCGTTAGTATGCATTTTAACTCGTCGTAATTAATCTAATTTTGTCCAGTCCTGTCTCCTCATGCTCTCTGCTCTGCGCGCCCAAAAATTCAGTTGCTCACTTCATCACTTCTTCAAAAGTTTTTAACTCCTGTCACACAGCTGAGCCTTTACACAGCTGTAATTACACTGTCACTGGGCATCAACTCTGATCTGAATTACAGTGCGAGGGGCTTCTGTCTGCCCTTTCATTCAACCGCCCGTGCTCAATCCATTTTCCCGGACAGACAGAAAAAAAAAAGCCGCATTGCAGCCTGTCATCGAAGAAACGACAGGGGTTTGACGGCTGTGACAGTTCTCTGGGTCTCCTGCCCGTCACCCTAAACCCTCCACTGGCTGTCCGTCAACCTAACCCCTCCCTTGTCATCACAGCTCCGCCGTTCTGCAGATAATGCAACTTGTTAATTAGGCATGCAGTAGATTAATTAAACTGATACAAAGGTGTAGGTTCACTTGTCTTCGCCGTGCGGAGGAGTGTTGTCATTGCCAAGGTGAGAGGAGACAAACAAAGGCAGAGAATTAATGTGCACAGGATGGATTTTCTTACCTCCTGTGACTTTATATAACCTGATCCTGCTTTAGTGTTCTTTTTACAAGATACGTGAGAGGCGGCTGAAGACACCGACGGTCCTCTTTTGCCAATAAAGAGCTGGTTAAACTGAATTTAGGTCCTCCACCACTTTTCTATTGTAAATAGACAGTGACAGTGAAAAGAATGTGGAGTGAGGAAGATAAATGAAAAGCACTAAAGTGAAAGGCGGTGAAGGGAAAAGGGAAGAACAAGAGGGAGAAACATAAAGGATAAAAGTGCTGGAGTCAGTGTTTGGGACATAATCCCAGAAGCTCCAACCTCAAGTGCTGGCTTTAAACAACACAAATTTAACCCGGCAGTAAAAGGGGAGGAAAGAGAGCAAAGCGCTTGTTCTATCCGTCTCAATCCTCTCTTTAAAGCAGGACACGCGGCAGAAGCGAGCACAGGTGTGAGTGGCTCTGAGACTCGAGTCTGCCCCAGAAATGGGAAGCCTTAATCTCTGCTGACCCTCTCTATCATCATCCTCTGGGACCGCAGCCACTGTCAACATCCTCCATCATCAACACACAAACACACACGCATACTGAGATGAGAGAGTTCTCAGCATCTCCGTGTCTTCTGCCTTGCAGGATATTCATCATCACACCCTGTGCACACAGCTTTGATTCATGATCCAACAGTCATCAGAATTAGGCTTTAGTCCTCATGCCTGTTCCCCAACTCATCCTGGTTTGGAGGGCTGGTGTTATCCGCAGAGAGCTGTAGATTTTGTTAGATTAACAATCGATCAGATAACAATTTGTAGGCGATGCTTGTAGAGACAAGCCCACTGAGAACACAACTCTGTAGTTGCCTCAGCTTGATGCTGTGTTTTAGCCTCTTTCATCTGTCTTACATTTGTTAGGTGTCCGATACACGACACTCAGTGAATGCTAATGTTGCTCAATATCTGCTGTGTTACCAAATTTTGGACGCACTGAGTCAAACCACGTGGCACTGATTTGCTTTTCCTTTGTCAGTTTTAACATGCCATACCACGCCGAGCTGCACTGGAGCTGGACCTTCCTGCTCCTTCTCCAGAGAGGGGCCGACTGCGTGCCTGACTGTCTACAAGCGGGGAGCGGTAACGTCTTGCCCACAGCAGCCAAACTGACAACCCCCGTGTGTGAGACTCAACTCACATCTGTCTGTGCTGGACACCAAAGAGACAGATGTTTTTAGAAGTCTCTGTGAGTTCAGCTCTCAGTACTTTTGTAACTTATAACTGAGGTATAACTGTGGTTGCTGCTTCACAATAAAAGCGTCTACATACCAAAATAACACGGGACTTTTATTGTGAAGAATCTAAAGGAAATGAAATTTTTTTATCACAGGATTAGTCATTTCTTGGCGGCTTTTCTTTCATAAAAACAAAGCTGCTAGCGCAAGGAGGAAGAGTATAAGCAGAAACTGTCACAGAGAGATGTTGATGAAGAGCTCTAAACAGGCTCTTACTGCACCTCTGCAAACAGTTCATCTACATCAGGTAAACTTTTATCTGCCCTGCTGTAATGGAGAAGCAAATCCCTGCTGCACTAGGATGGCAGGCCAATTCAAACCAAGCCAAACCAAGCCAGGACACGAGTGTGGAAGAAGGATAAAAGTTCTTGATTGCAGGTTAAAAGGTTCAGTGGGTAGCTTTTATATAAATAAAAAAATAACTTTTGCAAGAATCCACTGCACCTGAACTCTCAAACATTCAGAGTTAGCAGGAGTCTCCAACTCAGTGTTAATCAGTGCTCGTGCACACGCTGCGCCAGCCTCCTCCTCCCCACGCATGCTCTCACTCATTTAAGCTTTATATCTTCAGTCGGCTTCTGGAGGAGCTTTGCTAACACAATGCCTCAGAAACAACCACCAGCATTAAAGAAACTGCCCCATCCCTCCTTTGCCAACAACAGCGGACAAGTACACAAAGGAGGACCTGTGACGAAAAGCTTGCTTTCACTTTCACAGAAGAAGGTCATTGCTCGTCTTCTATTTCCTTGTATTTGCTGTGGACGCTGTTGTTGGCAGCACAGTGTGTGCATGAGCATTGACTGACACTGCGTTACAGACTCCTCCTGGCTTTGATTGGTTGTTTTCATTCAGGTGCAGAGTATTCTTGCAAATGCCATTAGGAGCACTAGAAGTGATTTTTTCACAGATTACCTGTCTCATGCACTACCGTCAGGATGTATTGACAGTTTCAGCAAATATGGCACAAAGTTATTTTTTTTATAAAAGTTACCTACTGTAGCTTTGAGTCTTAAAATCAGTGAGAGTGAAAAGTAATCGACCATTTGGTGTAATCTGTCAGTGCAATCTCAAATGACCAATCTGGATGTTTTCTGACCTGCTGCCCCGATCAGTGCGATAAAGACAAAGAGGAAGGAAAGATTGTGGTCATTGCAAATACATTATCGCGATTTGATTAGGAGGTCCAAACATAAGCTATTAATTTCTTAAAACCCTGTTAATCGCGTGCTGCTATTTTCGCCGCTGCCTGTCTTTCAGAAGATATAGACGCCTGATACTGGGGCTTATACAGGTATCATAGGAATCCAGTGGTACCAAGCTAACTTCTAAGGAAGAGGGCTAAATAACGCTCCAAAGTTAGGCAAATTTTGGTGAGGGAAAAACAGCATGGCCATTTTCACAGAGGTTCCTTGACCTCCCACCTCAAGGTATCTGAATGACAATCGACTCTGTGGGTCCCACAAGTCTCCTGTTTATAGACATGTCCACTTTATGCCAGTCCCACACAGTTTTGGGCACAAACTATGCACTTTTTTGCAGTGTTTATTACAAATTTATGAGTAGAAAAACTTGACACACAGTGCTGAGCTGCATCTCAAATTGCTCTTCAGGTTTCCAGCTTTCAGGTGATATATATCACTACTGTGCGGCATATACTGCTGACCTGCTCCCCAAAAAGCTCCCTTGCCCCCTGCCAAAAAAACGCAAAAATGGGTCTACAGTATGTGGGTCTCACAGGGTTAACTGTATGCTGCAATTTTGTCTCTTTCATCGTTGGTGCAGTGCAGCACTGATTTGAAAGAAACACATTTTAAAGTTAGGCTCATAAAGTAAACTTCTTTGCATTCATTTGATTCCCAACCAAAACACTGTGGTAAGAATTGCCTCACCTTCTTAATATGGACCTCAAAACTGTTTTGACATGCAAAATTATGGAATTTTATTAAACCTGTGATTAAAAAAGTGTGATTAATTGCGATTAAGTATTGAAATCCAGCGATTAGACGTGATTAAAAAATGTAATCTTTTGACAGCCCCAATTTAAACAAACAGAACTTCTTGGTTTCTGACAGACTGACTTCATGGTGAAGATAAATGACTGTTGACAGAGACAGATTGGGAATGGGTTATCTCACCACCAACGCAGAACCAACTTTAAGAAAGTTTTAAATGGCTGAAAGTGAAATATTAAATAAAATAAAAAAAAGACATATGTGTTTTTTGTGTACCCAAACTCTGCGCATGAACTTGTCATATCTTGTGCTTGTTGTGAAATATGAGGGGGCTACTGGATAGATAACCTGCTCCGTCTCTCTCTGTATCTCTCACGCCTGGGTGACAGCGTAATTTCTCCTCATCAAACCAAAGATGCAAAACTCTGCTGATGAGTGAGAAGAACTTGGCCCTGCTGCATCACCTTCATTAATTCACAGCACACCCATTCTCACAGCGACGCAAATTATGAGAAAAGGCAAAACAGATCGTGGGATTGCTGAGCTGAGCTGAGACAAACTGACATCAAAGATTGTGATTAACCCTTGAGAATGACAGGGATGGATGTCTGACACAACAAGAGCGGGCTGAGATTGTTCCGACACTTCAGAGAAATGACTGATGTGGAATAAGATGCGATGAAACTGAATTGAGATGCGTTTTTCCATTTTCCTCCGGGGGGTTTTAGCATCTGATCTAAAGTAACTGTCTCACACTGACAAGAAGATACAACGCTAACAATCAAATAATTCAATTACAACTGCCTCTGATTCAAAGAAAATCACTTAAATCTGTTTCAGAATAACTCGCTTTAAGTCAAGTACAATGTCTTACAAAGAGCAAAACCAAAAGCAGCAGAGTCAAGAAATTAACACTTGTAGAAAATAATGTGTGTTTAACAGACAAAAGGCTCAAAGTCAACAACACGGATGTCTTCCTTGACTCGTCTGATTTTGTTACGGCATTTTCAGTGATGTCGTTCCTATTTATAGTTTGTACTAAACCACTTCTCCCCGAAGAATGTTCGGTGTGGATCTCAAAGGTAATTTTTTTTTTTTTTTTTTCAAAAACAGGTCAGTGTAGCCCCATGTTTCAGGTCATCGTTGAGCTCGGAGGGGAGTAACTGGGTCGAGTTAGAGGGTCGGTGAGAGACAGACGAGAAAGGAAAACAGAGAGAGGAAAGTAAAAAGAGTACAAAGGGATTTGTTGTTGTCCCGGTGACGCCTGGCAGCACTTTGACAGGCCTCAGAGTTGACTATGATACAGGCTGACTCGGAGAGCCAGGGGTGGAGCAAAGGGCAGGGCAGTGCAGTGCAGGGAGGGGAGGGGGGGCTTGGGCTGAGAGTTTTGAGCTGGAAGGTGTGAAAGAGTGTTTGGGGAAATGGGGCGAGGAGAGGAAGGGACGACAGGGAGACAGGCAAACCGCAGTTGGCAGCAGAGGAGAAAAAGGAAAGGGGGTGGGTGGGTTTTTTTTTTTTGGTTCAGACGTGGGCGCGGTTGTGGCCCAGCTCTCCTCCGTGGTGGCCTCCCTCTCTGTGGCCGTGCCTCTTGTGCTTCCTGCGCTCCCTCCTGCCCTTGTGGTGGTGGCGCCGGTAGCGGTGGGCTCGTCGGGCTGGTGGAGCAAACAGAGCGGAATAGAGAGATGGTGAGATAAAAGAAAAAAAGGGCAGGCGATTTATTAAAGAAGCCGGTCAGAAAGAGCGGAAAACTGATGTAAGAGGAAGATGAATCACTGACAAGCATCGGAAGCATTCAGACAGATAGTCAGAGGGAGGTGAAAGCAGGTAAGAGACCAGAGAAAATGGGATCAAAAAGCAGGAAGGTCAAAACTGCGTGTTCTCTGTAGAAGGTTTAGCTGCTTCCACCACGCTGAGGGAATCTGTTTTATCTCACACTCAGTACACTGGGCGCCTTTAGCAAGAGCACACTGAGCTAGCCACCCACTCAGCCTCAGTGTAAGCTCATTCCTGGGGTGTACTGCCAAATTAGGTTGCTCTGTCCCTTTCTGGATTTTGCCAACAAAGACATGTCATCTGCAATGAGTGATAACGACACCATAACTCTGGGCCATAAAAACAACTCTGTCCAAAGATAAAGAGTCGAAAGGAAAATATATATATTTTTTATCACTTTCAACAGAAGCTACATTATTTTAGCATTTCATCATTACTGTCACATTGTGAGCTGAGAGAAATGAAATATAAGGCTTGGTTTGTAGAATATTTATATATATCAACCTTTTATATCTCCCCCTGAAGAAGAAAGAAATTATGCTGAAAAGTTACATTTATTCTGTCTATTCTGTCACAGTCGGAGTGAGTCCTTTAAAATCATTGTAGGAATGATAACGTTTATTTTAAGGCTCAGAGGAGATAAGGTGTGTGAAGGCTGCATAATAAAAGGCTGTTATCACAGTGTGGCCCTGCTGTGCACAGGCCCAGGGGCCCAAAGTGTCAGGGACGTCCCTGGCCTTCACCTGCAAAATGTCACCCAAATAAACAGGAAACTTTGGTATTTTTCAACCTGGACAGTGATTTCCCATGTCCTGTGTGTGTAGGTGACTAACGGAGACAACTGTTTTTAAAATTGGTCCGGCAGCAGCGAAAGAGACGGCAATGTAATCCCTACAGGCAACTGTGCACCGTCAATCTACATCCACTAAAAGTGCCCGTTCTGCCACTGACAGGCTCAGATTGTTATTACAAATGTCTCAGAACATTACAAAAAGGACACCACAGAGCAATGAGACGTTTTTCCTCACCTGAAACTGGTCTTTTTGTTATTGTGACCAAGTCTCAAGGTGACTTGTTGCAGGAAAAAAATGAGGTGGAGAGAGGAGAGCCACTGAGAGTTTGTTGTGTTGTAGTACAGAAAGCGTAGCATAGTGTTATCTAAAAGATTTTCAATGTCATGCCTGAATACCTTTCTGATTTATACAGTCTGAGATTTCAGAATGAGACTGCTCTTTCAGCAAGACTTGGTTACACATACTAACACACAGATCTGATCAGCAAATGGCAAGGACATTTCTCTGTAGGATTCTTTCTGTAACATTGTTACACAATTATAATAACCATCTGATGCTGTCGGTTAAAAAAACACTTAAGTGGACGTAAACTGACAGTGCCAATTGTCCTGAGTGGTTACAGTGCAGCTTGTTTCGCTGCTGCAGTGCTCTCGCTCAATACTGGACCAATTTTAATAATTGTTGTCTTGAGTCGTCAATTAGACACAAAAACTTACAAAAATATACGATGGGTCCTGGCTCAAAAATAACGAAGTTTCTCTTTGCCACGTACTGACTAGGAAAAGATTCAAAATGAACATAAAGAGACACAAAAAGACCACAAAGAGATGCAAAGGGACTGCAAATACACACAAAATAGCTACAAAAATGGGCAAAACAACCACAAAGAACTACAAGGTGACACAAAAGGACTACAAAGAGGCACAAAACAACTACAAGGTGACATAAAATGAAAAAAAGGCACAAAAGGACTTCATTAAGACACAAAACAGCTGCAAAAAGATGCAAAACAACCACTAAGAGACACAAAAGGACTACAAAGACACATGAAACAAACACAAGGTGACACAAATTGACAAAAAAGGCACAAAATGACTTCATTAAGACACAAAACGACTTCAAAAAGACGCAAAACAACCACAAGGAGACACAAAAGGACTACAGTAACATGCACAACAAACACAAGGTGACACAAAATGACACAAAATGACAAAAAAGGCACAGAATTACTTCATTAAGACACAAAACAACTACAAAAAGACGCAAAATGACAAAAAGAGGCACAAAATTACTTCATTAAGACAAAAAATGACTAGAAAAAGACACAAAACAACTACAAAGAGACACAAAACAAACAAGGTGACACAAAGTGACAAAAAAGGCACAAAATGACCTCATTAAGACACAAAACGACTTCAAAAAGATGCAAAACAACCACAAAGAGACACAACAGGGCTACAAAAAGACAAAACAATTCAAGGTGACACAAAACAACCACAAAGAGACACAAAACGACTACAAGGGGACACAAAAGGACTACAAAGTGACACAAAATAACAAAAAAAGGCACATAATTACTTCATTACGACACGAAACAATACTGTGATACAGAACTACCACAATGTCTGTGTGTCTTGTTCTTATGTAGGAAGGTAGCGGGGCCCTTTGCATTACTGTGCCCAGGGGCCCATTGTCTCATAATCTGCCCATGACTATTATAATTGATTTTAGATCCTAAATTGCACCAAAATAAAAGGTGGCTTCAAATATGAATGAAAGACTGACATAATGTCACTCCAACTAAAAAACCCCAATAAGAACAAATGTGAGAATATTTGCTGCACTCACACAAGTGTTTTACTCTTAATGCACATTAGCTCATGTATGATACGAAGTATAAACGTCATATTTCAGTTTCAGTTTTTAGCACACATCCTCTGTATTCAATAAACGGTTAACCGGTTGCAAAAAAAAAAAACAGTTTTGAAAAGTATGAACCCCCCCCCCCACCTCAAGCATAAAACACTTCAAAGGAGACCCTACCACTTCTAAGTAAGCCCTGGGGATTTCATTTAGTCTGCAACCACAGTAATCTTTCTGCTCGCAATTATTAATAATGAGAGTGGGGATGGCGAGCCTGAACGCGGATGGTGACAGCAGCTCCTGGGGGTAGCTAATGTAGGAGGTTTGTCTCACGGACCTATGGTGGAGTGCATGCTAAAAATAAGAAAATGTAAATGTGAAAATGACCTAACAAATGGAAATACTGCTTTAAGTCTTGTTGTCTGCCGGTCTGCTCTGTGAAAATCCTGTCGTGTAAAAACTTACATTTTATGCAGATGATTTTAGGCCGGTCCCACTTGCCGTTGGCACGACACTTAGCAGTGGGCACGTGGCGCTGCAGGAAGCCTTCGGCGCACTGGTAGCGCGCTACAGAGTGGATATCATAGTGGGAGCGCTTCCGACCAATCAGGAAGGCATTCTCCACAGTGGGTGGGGCTCCGCAAAGTACTGTAGGGGGAAAGACAGAGACAGCACACCACAGAATATGAATCAGATGGTACTCTTCTTTTTAGTTTCACAATCTCTTGTGTGATAAATATGTATCTAATATTAATGAGTTTTACCTGGATTCACCTTATCAGTGTGTGTGATTACAACAGTTTAATGCCCCTGATGGTTTCTGTATTCAGTGTGTGTGTGTGACTTATGACATCTATCAGAAAACCACTCACAGCACAAACATCAAAATGTGGATTTAGTGTCTGCAGGACAACGTGTCTGTCCAAGTCTGGCAAGTGAGTGGGCGGCTGTCAAAGCAACACTGCGTTTCAGACACATAAAGAGTGGAATGAGAAAAAATGTTTACACAAGCTGAGATGGAGAGAGGACTGACATTCCGGTCAGAGACTGACAGGATGGACAAGCCTCAGGGATGCACTCAAACAACTTCACAGATATTTTAACTCCCCTGTCAGAGCGGTGCCAGTCTCTCCGGTGGAGGCAGCAGGTGAATGCGCTGCAACTCTGACACTCCCTACATGGCAGCTCCGTCACTCAGCAGAATGTGTAGCAAAAGTTTTGAGTTTATTGTCACCACCTTGAATCGCCATTTTATCCATGATAATCTTCGATCTCAGATTAGCTAGGTGGACAATATAGCTGTTAGTCATCACTGATCACAGCTGCTGAACCATTTATCAAACAGTCAGAGGTGACAGAAGCTCTACAGCTGGTTCAGTGCACTGCTGAGGAGATTATAACTGAGAGACAGGCGGGCTTGTAACACTGAAATACTAGCTATGGTTTATAATCTGTACTGCAGTGGCTCCAAAACTTTCTGTCATCTTTATCAACTGCTATAAGCTCTGTTTGGGAAAACTAGTCACATAAAGTGCCAAGATAAATTTTATTGGAAAGAATTATCAAGGACACGCTGGACTTGGGCAGAGGAAGCATGTATGGACAAATTACAACAAAAGTGCCCTCTTGGATGCCTCTATGGTAGATAAAACATGATACAATGGCCTCTAGGGTGCCCTTCCAGTGGAGAAAACATAATGTGTCCCCTTGGGTGCTCTTCCAGTGGAGAAAACCTGATGAGGTGCCTCTAGGGTGCCCTTGAAGTGGAGAGACAGGATGATGTGCCCTACATGTCGCAGTGCCCTTTAGGTTGCTTTTTATGTTAAGTAAACATGATAATGTGTCCTCTAGAGTGTACTTCCAATAGAGAAAACGTGATGAAGCGGCCTCTAGGGTATACTTCCAGTGGAGAAAACATGATGCAGTACCCTTCAAGGTGCCCTTCTGGTGAAGACAATGGGATGAGGTGCCCTCTAGGGTGTACTTCCAGCGGAGAAAACATGACACAGTGCCCTTTAGGGTGCCCTTCCAGTGGAGAAAATGTGATGCAGTGCATTCTAGGGTGTACTTTCAGTGGAAAAAACATGACGCAATGCCCTTTAGGGTGCCCTTCCAGTGGAGAAACCATGACACAATGCCCCTCCAGTGGAGAAAATGTGATGAAGTGCCCTCCAGGGTGACCTTGCAGTGGAGAAAACATGACGCAGTGCCCATCCAGTGGAGAAAATGGGATTAAGTGCCCTCCAGGGTGACCTTCCAGTGGAGAAACCATGACGCAGTGCCCTTCCAGTGGAGAAAATGTGATGAAGTGCCCTCTGGGATGCCCTTGCAGTGGAGAAAACATGATGCAGTGCCCTTCCAGTGGAGAAAATGTGATGAAGTGCCATCTAGGATGCTCCTCCAGCGAGGAAAACATGATAAGGTGTCCTCTAAGATGTACTTCCATTAAAGAAAACGTGATGAAGTGGCCTCTAGGGTGTACTTCCAGTGGAGAAAACATGACAGTGTCCTCTAAGGTGCCCTTACAGTAGAAAAAACATGATGAAGTGCCCTCTAGGGTGCCCTTCCAGTGGAGAAAACATGATAGAATAGGATAGAAAGCCTTTATTGTCATTGCACATTAACAATGATGCTGACTATACAACGAAATTGCGGGGGCGACTTCTAAGGTGCAGACGAGAAATACAGATAATAATTGCGTTTGCATAGCAAACAACATTTGTGCAACAGGATTGTTGCCTAACACAAGACAATAAATACACACCATATAAAATAAGTAGCACGCAATGTAAAATAAGTAGCAGTGCCCTTTAGGGTGCAGGTGTCCTTCCACTGAAAACAACGTGATGAAGTGTTCCTAGGGTGCCTTTCCAGTGGAGAAAACATGATTAAGTGTCCTCTAGGGTGCCCTTAAAGAGTAAAAACATGATGAAATGCTCTATTGGGTGTCCTTAAATGAAGAAAACATAATGTGTGTGCCCTCTGGGTGGCCTTTAAATTGAGCACACTGGTGGCCCAATGTGTGCAGCTGGCCCTTTTGGTTTTCCTTTTGGAGTCCGCCACTGCAAGAACGTGAATTGTATGCTTCTTTCCTCACATTTTCCATTAGTTTCTGCTAAAACTGTTGCCATATTTACAGGGAGCTCAAGAGGAAAATAAGCTTCTTTATATTTGGATTTGACTGATGTGTTTGTTTGATGAGCATCCCCAGTTTTCTTTTTCTTCCTTGTCGAAGGTCTGTCCATATTTACATGACATTCTGCTTCCTAAATAAATGATGCCAACCTGAATCTTGATAGCCTTGCTACAATGACAGCATTTTTTTTTGTCATTCCAAGAATGATTTTGAATCATAAAGCGTTTTTATCACAGCAGAGCAGACATTTGGCTTATAATAGCCGGAAAGCGAATAATGTTAACGATGTCCCTGTTCTATCCATTACCTAAATGCAATGCAGGAAATAATCAAGTCAACAGTTACACCTGTGTTTGCTTATCGAATGTCTGCTGTGAAAAAAAGGTTTTTTGAACTTCAGTTTCCCTCCACATATTTCCCTCTGCTATGGTCGTGTAACGGAGACGTTTTTCAGTGTGTATCACCTGTTAAAAGTGGGCACCAAAGTACTGTGACTGTGCTTGTTCTGTGTTTGTGAGGGCTCCTGCAGTGCCGTTAATTCATTACACCATGGGGCTGAAGTCAACGTGTCTATTATTTGTCAGTCCTTGAAAATAAAAATTGTAACAAAGCAACAAAATCAGGCTTTCTGCTATAAAACAAACAGGTCACCAAACTGTCACAGGTATTCACACTGATTATCAAACTGAACTATTCATTAAATGTGTTTTGTGTGGATTTTTTTCAATTATGATGTCCAAAAACAATTCTGGATCTTTTGAAGCTGCAGCTTGAGCTCTTTTCAGAGAGAGAATGAAGCGTTGTTTAATAGTCTGAAGGGTTAAAGGTTATGGAAATTTGGATGAAGTGAGGTCGAGGCTGCCCCAATCAATGGTACCTAGTTTGCCAACACCAGTAACAATTGATTCCACTCCCTGAATGTGATTTACACACTTCAGTGGTTAAAGCGGTCATGAGAGGACTTAATCAGCAATCAAAAAATGTTTACAAACCCTCTTAATCCCCTTGTCCTTGTCCTAATACCTCTTAAATTCTTAATAAGGGAAAGCAATGCCATTAACTCTGATGAAAGGTTTAATGCCACATTTACAGTTTAATGTCTTGTGGAAGGAAGGGGCAAAAAGCCCTTTCCTCCTCACTTGAGACGATCACACACTCAACACAAACGGGAGGCTAAAAGGTGGTTTTTCCATTAGCCCTCACCTATGTACACTGCTGAATGATTTCTCACAGCGGGACTTTGCGGCAAGTGAAGTCAGAATGTATTGAAGTAGGGATAAAAGAAAATGTCACTAAACTCAGTGAAGGCAAATGGAGCCGTGACTTTATTGGAGACGCTGTAAGTCAGAAAAAGGTCTTTTGCAGAATAAAGCCTGTAGGACGTACGGGGCTGCTGCTGAGAGAGAGGAACTAGGTTTCTTGGAAAAGTCCCATAAAAAATGTACTTTTCACGACACTGACGCTGCTTCTCAATCTTTTAAGCAGTAACTTAAATCTTTGAAACACAAGTGTGGATTTTTGGTAAACCACTGATTGTTGAGGACTAAACATTCAGCCACTCCTGGCATCTCTGTGTGTGTCTGATAACAGATGAGTCACACACACTGTCAGACTATAATTTTGCTTACATGATTAGATCGGCTTATTGAAACTCAACATAATATCCACACTCCCTCCTGTTGTGGGTTGCTACAGGCAGATTTTGAAGTTCCCAATACTCTCAAGGTGCTGGCTATGGTTAAAGCTGCACTAATCAATACTTTGATGGAGTGTAATGTGGAATCTGTCCAGATTTTGCTGGAGAGAGTGGAATACGATTGCTAACTGTGGAGCTGAGAGACGCATTAAAATAGCTAAGAAAGCAGGGAGCAAAAAAGGATGCTCATTTTAAGTGTCTGGACCACAGCTTGGAAGATGAACAAATGGTGAAGTTAGAAGAAGAGAAGAATTGAAGAAGTGTGGGTGAAGAGATGGAAACAAAAGAGGCGGAGACGGAGAAGAGAGCCTGAAGACGAAGAGAAAATAAGAGAGGAAGCTGAAGAGGAGAGATGATTCACTTGTACAGAGAAAAAAACAAGTGGAGATTTTTCTCAGCATAATGATGTAGCCTTGCTGATATTCAAAAACTAGAAAAAAGAATATACATAACTGTATGTGAAGCTTACAGAGGACAAAGGTCACAATTTGGAGCAGCTGATTTAACATATTTTAGTTTAGCCGACATTAAAAGCTGAGAGGACAACGCATTCTCGGTCCTAACTCAAATACTGACGCTTAGTCAGTGGCTCTATGTGTTAAACTGTGACGTTCTGGTTCCACTAACATTGTTTTAAGATAGACGTCTGATATAGATTCTTTTGTGCTGACGCTGCTGGTTGATAATATTTTGCTCAATGTTCAATATCTTTAAATCTGACCACAGAAAGTATTCACTGTTATTTCAGAGAGCTGTATTCTGGTCAGGACAGAAAAGCCTCTGAGGCAGCATTTTACATGAAGTATCTACTCGCTG